TTCCTTGTGAATTTTGAGACCCTGTAGTAAATGTATGTAGGAATAACTTTGCCTTCATTATTGATCGCTATAAACACCTTCATAATGACCATTAAACTCGTCCAACTCTTTTCCGAATCCTCTGCACTGTCCTCAACAGATTTACCACCAGCGCACACGCTGAAATGTTCTTATAAAGGTTTTCGAAGCGGGTTTCAAAGCAGTACAGCATGCCGTTTCCTAAATTACTGACAGGGTAATTTTGCGTCATGGTCTTCTTATTCTCCATAGACAATGCCTAAATGGTCTACTATATTATGCACTTGACAAAATCAGAAAAGAATATCGCGCATACATGAAATTAAAATTACAAAATGGCGATAATTTACCAATCGCACATGTATATATATCATTATCTCTCTATATATATTCTGGCCATATCTATAGATCTATTCTTCTGGTCATATCTATCTATCTATCTATCTATCTATCTATCTATCTATCTATCTATCCGGTTTATCCATATCTATCTATCTATCATCTATCTATCTATATCTATCTATGTCAGTCTGTTCGTTATCTATCTCAGTCTGTTCATATCTATCTATCTATCTATCTATCTATCTATCTATCTATCTATCTATCTATCTATCTATCTAATACTGGCTTGTAGAAATGAACCCATCAGAAAATTGATTGTCTCCATGCGTAACAAATGCAGTATAATGCGATGGAAAACACAAACAAAAGAATTCCGGATTTGTCGCAAAGATACGATGTTGCACTTTTCACAATGAAGCCAACCAGATAAGGACCTCTGCTATCAGTCTTACAAAAGGGGTAAAATTCTACTTTTTTAAAAATCGAGACAACTGTCTGACAGCGACACTTCTGAACAAGGTGAAACATCATGTTAAACTAGGGACAATCTGAAAACTTCTCTGATGAAAAAAGAAATTTGTCCACACCAGCTGCACAACAGTTTGCCTACAATCCATATGACGTTCCTCGTTTCACTTAAAGACCAAAGTTTCCCTAATTTGTGATGGTTTTTGATGTGTGTCTCCAGTGACGTTGATGTCCTGCCACCTCACATATTTGCTCAAAGCCTCTGGCACAATTCTGATAGCTAGCTGATGCGCTACTAAACACCATGGTCAAGCGATATTTGGCAATAGTGGCTCCTGGAAGACCATGTGTATGGCAGCACAGATTCAGCCGCTCTACCACACCTCCAGAAAGAGTCAGAAGTGGGTGTCGGATAATTTTACAACTTCCACAACGTCTAGCCCCATAACTTCCTTGATATGTGGGACAGGCTTGACAAGGTCACCACCACTGTCTGTAACATCAGCGCCCAGCTGATCAACAGGATTAAGAAGGCATTTCAGATTCTGACTAGGGACATCGTGATGACCGCATGTGCCCAGATTCAGGTCAGATCGAGGCTATTGTAAAATGCTAAGCTGGCTTCTTTGAATGGAATTGTCTTTTTAATTGTAACCTTTTCTATTTTCCAATAAATTGATTTATAAACTATGTTTTCCGTTTAATCTGTCAAATTTAGTTCGAACAAGCTCTCTATATTTCTGTATATTTCTGTATATATCTAGATATATTCTTCTTTATAAACGTAATATGTAAGTGGTACGTTTCTTTAGAAGTCGTTCTTTGGAGATTAATGTCTAACGGCCTGGCATCGAAGAGTCAGGCTAAAGAAAAATGTTTTCCTGACAAAAATGGAGCGTTTATACCCCGTTTAATGTTGAAAACACTATCCAGTCAAGTATGGGATGCATCACATTCCTTCACAAGTATAATTACCTGCTTAAAAATATTTTGAGAAGTGGGACGAAATAACAAACGTAGAAACACTCTTTGTTCTTGGTCTTTTCCACAAATGGTTTGTAGCCGATGATGAAAAAGCTACTCCTTCATTTATTTTATGACAGAAGGTTACAAACAAGTTCCCCAATTTAATCTGTTTAGATGTAGGTCCAGATTAGAGATCAACTGCCAGGCTCATCAAGGTCTTTCGACGTGCGTACATAAACAGTGATATCAACTGCATACATATTTTTTAACGATCTGAGAATGTTATTAGATATAACATGTGTAACAACAAAATTGTCCAACTATTAAAAATTTGAACCGTTCTATCTTAAGAAATGATTAAAGATATCTTACTGGAATTCTGGTTTTTATAACACTATTGGTTCTACTTTGAGCAATAAGAATGTATAATTACTCTCCAGGCTTAACGAGAGGAAATCGTAATAGAAATCGATCATAAACGAAAACGATAGTGCATCATTAATTAATCACCTTTAAGGATCACAAGGCATGAAGGATTGATATAAAGGATTCATATATATATATATATATATATATTCAGGATTATTTTTTCAACACAGTTTAAAGATGATTTTCGCGCTCTAACCTTCTGTCCTGGGTATCAAAGGTGCTTCTACGGGTTTTCACGTATGATTTCATTTTCAAGTCTCTCCTCTCTCAGGTGTCCAAACGTCGATGGATTGAGTTGGATCTTTTCTAATGGATCCTTAGTTTTAAACTGAAATAATCCTCTTCCCTCTTGACCTCCTGAGTCAGTTTGGTGTCTGCCGTTCCTGTTTTTTAAACTTATTCGACGTTCTCTTGATGGTTCTTGAATGGACTTTAAAGATATAAGCCAGAGTATGAATAAACATTTTTGTTACTGAAGCCCTGAACATTCTGTTTCGTCTCACTATTGTTCAGTTGGAAAAAAATGGGGGCTGATATAAAAACGATTTTTACATGATTTTTCTAGCTGCATAACTCAACTTGTTTTTTCGGTTTTACGACACATGGTGTCAAGATGCCAAATGTTCCATCTAAAAACCTGGAAAAAAACTTAATTAGTTTTGTTGTCTTTTATTAATCATTTTGTGGGATGGATAATTATACCGTTACAAGATTTGAACAATTTTGCTTACACTCTGTATATGAAAAAAATAAATTTTTGGAATGTTTCGTAATAATAATAATAATAATAATAATAATAATAATAATAATAAAACGGAACGTGAATAGGTTGAACAACTTGTAGAAAGTAATGACCTCATGGTTTTCCATAGATTGGAACATTTTATGCAACCTATACCACCTTTTCAAAGCATTTGAGATATCTAAGGCGATCGCTCACGTGATTAACTCATTATTGAGTGCCTCCCCGATTCTTTCTGTAATGACCGGACATCAGCAGTGGATCTCGCGCAGTATATACTGTTTGTCGCTCACGAAGATGTTTTCTTGGGTTGGTCAACGACTTTCTTGTTTATGATGGATCTAAACTTTTCTGATGAAAATATGTGAGCGATGCATTGATACTGACACAGTGAACGCCCCCCCATTCTTGAAGACAAATTGAACAGATGATTACAATAACTTTCACTGTTTGGAAAAACATTTCTCCTTCAGACAGCGAGTAAACACTTTTGCTATGATTGCAGACAACTCTGGGCTTATCTTAAAACAACAGAAAAATTATAAAGATAAATGGCCTTCGAAATTCAAATCTTTGCTGTGTCTATAAATTTCTCGTGTTTTGGTAGTGATAGTGGGAAGAGAAAGTCAGCATGGTCATTGGAGTTGCAAACAAAAGTTCGTCGCAATGTCCTTACATATCTGATGATCAGGGTCATCCATATAATTGTAAGCACTGACAGTTTGGTATTGAGAATTTTCTTTGGGAGATATTTTCGAACTCAGAAGAACCGTTTGTTTTTCAAGTTAGGATTGGATAACTGCGCTAAGCATTTTTCCAGACCCCATGCACTGATTACGACCAGTTCTGAATCCTGCAGCGGTTTCTCTACTCTCTTCCCTTCAATAAAATTCATGCTTGAACCAAGGCGGGAAACTTCTCGGCTTTATTGAAAAGTTATGTAATGAGGATAAAACTAACCATACTAGAAAGAATCTGTTAGGAAATAAGGCTGGTTCTACGATTGGCTTTATTATTGAAGAATGCTGAGAGTGGTGAATCTTCAATATAAGCTCTAAAATATCCTAGTCTGCTTTGACGTAACGAAAGATCGTTCTCTGAAATAAAATATTTAAGTATGCCATCAGTATGGCTGAAATTTCGGCATTGCTCGCTTACTGGTCTGGAGTTCCAATGGAACGTATCAGTTCTGCTGTAATTTCTCAGGACATGAGCCTGGAAATAGTGTTAAGAGTTCTGTGTCATGCCCAGTTATATCAGGAACACAGGTAAAACATCCAAGATATGATTAAGTTCGATGGTGAAATAACGAAAAATATCTTTTCTTCATCGATTGTGTTTGTACATTTTGACTTTTGAAATGAAATATGAACTTCATCAGCCAGTCAAACAAAAATCAATGACACGTTTAGGGATTATAAGATTCAAAGAATCTCGATTGTTATTATCTGTGCTTGTGTGTTATTTTTTTATTTTTTACTAGCATCATATGCGATGTTACAATCTATACCATATCAGCGATGTCGATTTATTTTTTATTTACTGCTGGCAATTAATTACCTTTCTTTAAGTCACATTTCTTTCTTAATAATCTGTTCAGCTGTTTTCTAGAAAAGATACTAACCAGTGTATTTAGGCCAGGACAAAGGTGACTTGGGTGATACATATGTATTCTGTCGCCGCAGAATACACTAACATCGTTAAATGCCATAAAAAGTAACCCTCTTCTCTTTTCACTCCTTATCACGTTGTGTTACAGCATAACAGGGAAGAGTTTCTCTAAAACGTTCAGACTGAGAGTCTTGTTAACGTGACTTCTAAATCATTCCTATGGAATAAATATTTTATATCTGTCTATATATTTTGAGATGAGTAATTTTGTACACGTTTTACATTATTCAGACTATCATATTTATTAGGTGGTTGGAATGTCGAACTGAACCCTTTATTTCGCTCCGCTTGGGTAAACTGCCATGTCTAATAGATGTCAGTTATTAGTTATCTCCTGTTAAATCCCTCTCCAAGTTCTCCTGCCTTAATCAAGTATTGAACTCACACTCTTTGGGTCCCATCACTGAATCTAACTAACGCCTTTATCCACTGTGTCATGTGTCCTTGAGAACATTTGTGTGTATGAATTTTGGGTATTATAAAGCTTCAGCATTCATATTTTTACCAGTGCTCACATTGGAAGTTTTGATGTTATCGTTGGATGTTTTTACCAGCGCTCTATTTCAATTTTATTGTTATTATTGCTTTTTCCATGGCATTTCAATATTACTTCTTACCAAATTGCATTCATTTCTATGCTTGGTCGATCAGGAGATTTTTTGGCCTAGCGTAAATATTTTTATAAAATGTCAATCTGTTCTTATTTGCTTTTATTTTTGTATCATTTTTCTGAAAACATTTGTATCATTTTGCCAGAAAACATTTTGTCATTTTTGCTGAAAACATTTTTTGTGTCATTTTTGCTGAAAACATTTTGATGGGATGAATACTTCTTATTTCAGTGTTTAGTTTATGTAGAAATTGCAGTGTGGAATTTACGGAAGCAAGAGTATGTGTTCAAATCAAAATAGATCACTTTATAGCTAAGTGGTAGAACCTAAAAAAAACAAATCAGGAGGAGAAATGGCATCTGGGATGATACGGAAAACCTCAATCGTCTGGAGTGTGGATGACATTCTTATAAATGTGGGTGCTTATTGATTTCTTTCAAAATGTTTCATTTCAATACTTTGCTCGGTATGGCAATATTCGTTACATCTCATGAAATTTATATCTCAAGAAATTATTATTTTGTTTTTTATTTTATTAATCTCTTATTTGCTTTATCCTGTTTTATGTTCTCTTTTTTATTGGTTTGATATTAATTTCATCATTCCACATTCCTTTAGTATCACTTTTCGATGTAATTTACATCCATTCTCTGTTTATATTTGTTTGTTTTCCTTTCTACTTTCATTTCATTCACCGTTTTTGTAATAATATGACATTATTTTAACTAAATAACGCTCTTTTTGTAATTGTAACATATCAATCATTGTAATCTTTGTTTTTTATTTCTCGTCTACCTTTGTCTCGCGTCCCGTTTTTCTCTTATAAAAAACAATGTTTTTTTGTTTATTTATTTCAAATCTCTTCATTGTCAGTCAGTTATGTACCACGTGATACAGGCTTAAGCGATCATGTATATTTTAACACACTTCAGTGACTGAAGAGCAGATTTTTCCGCAATGCGGTTTTATTTTTCCTGCAGTTCCGAGTCATAGAATCCAGTGTGTCTTGCTATTTTACCCATAGCATTTTAGAAGCAGGTTCACGCCTTCCCAAAGGGTATAAGCACATAAATGAATTTCAATTAGTTATGTACCATACGTATTTACGCAAGGGATCATGTATCTTTCGATACATGACTGACGAACAGATTTTTCAAACATTATTTGCCATTTCTTTCTGCTTTAGACTAGTTGCCATCGGTCTGTCCTGCTATTCATCTATAATTAGAGAAAGAAGAGGATTCTTACCTTTCCCAATGATATTAGCACGTAGTGAATTTCAGTCAGTTATGTGCCAAGCGTGAAACACGCTTGGCAAACGTCATGTGTCTTTCGATACATGACTGATGAAACGAATTATTTTTCCGCAGTAGAGTTTGCCATTTCTTTCTGCTTTTTTGACCAGTTGCATCCAAAGCTATAGAAGCCGGTCTGTCCTGTGTTTACCCATATCCTTAGCCTGTGGTAGTATAATTGATTCATTTAAATTCGAACTCAGCTCTCCGATTCCTCAATCGATGCTTTATCCATTACTCCACCGTCACTTTGTTTTCCTACCTTCCTTTCCCATTCAGCGCTCTCTATTAATATAATATTTTTGTTTTCAAGTTTTAAATCTTTTGTTTTCGTTTTCTTTCCAAGTCAGTTTTTTTTTAAATGTTCCCTTTCTTTGAACTCATCAAACATATATCTATTTCGAATTTTAACTTTATATTTTCACCTAGTATTTGTGACAAAGCGCGAGGAATTGAGTTTCTTTCATTTTAACAGAGGTGTGCCTTTATTTATGCGGAACTTAAAGGCGAGAGACTGTTTTGTCCATTGGCACAGGATACAGAATTGACAGTTCAATTATGGCGTCCTCTACGGTGAGAGACGTTCTACAAACTAAACATGCGCCTCGTTCCATACATCCATGTTACATTAAATCAGAACCTATTTTTTATTCCGTGGAGTCTTTTGCTTTTTGACTCCATTTTTGTTCATGATTTTTTTTTTTTTTTTTTTTTTTTGCGCCTTTTACTTTCCTCAGTTTTTATTTTTGATTATTTTGGGTTTTTTTTCGATTCTTGCTTAATTTATTTTTCTTGGTCTGATATTCCTGTTGGTTATCTCCAAGCAAGTCGAATGGACTCATCCGAAAGTTAGTTAAAGGAAAGTAACTACAACTCGTAGCCAAGATAGCGAGCCAAGTACTCGCTTGTACTAATGTGCAAATAAACTGCTTTGTAGTATTAAATTCTGTTGTTCGGTTTCCTTACTACAGCACACCATCAGTTATAACAATTCCTCTCTATCCTTCCTTTCTTTCTTTCTATCTATCTTTCTTTCTTTACTTCTTTTGTTTCTTGACTTTGTATCTTTTTCTTCTTTCTGTGCTTTCTTTCTTTTATTTCTTGGGTGTCTTCGTTTCCGTTTCATTGTTTGCTTCCTTTTCTTTCTTTCTTTTCTTTTTCTTTCTTTTCTGTCTTGCCTTGCTTTCTTTATTTTCGATTCTCTTTCTTTTTTTTCTTTCTTTTCTTTCTTCTTTTTTCTTCATTTCTGCCTAATTTTCTTTCTTTCTTTTTTTCTTTCTTTCTTTCTTTCGTTTTCTTTCTTTCGTTTTCTTTCTTTTTGTTTTTTTCTTTTTGTTTTCTTTCTTGTTTTTTTCTTCATTTCTGCCTTATTTTCTTTCTTTCTTTTTTCTTTCTTTCTTTCTTTCATTTTCTTTCTTTCGCTTTCTTTCTTTCATTTCTTTCAAGTTTTCTCCCTTTCTTTCTTTATTTTCTTCCTTCCTGCTATACTCTTTCCTTGTTTTTACAGATATATCAATTGTCCTTTTTGGGCACATCGGCGTAGTGCGAGCTAGTCTTCTTAGATAAGTTACGACTGAGTGAAGTGAGTTCGATCCTCACGAACTGCCCCATACTCTCGGCCTTGTGACACATCTAAGCTATGCTTAGAAAATAACTATCAACGTTTCTTTGTTTTTTCTAAGTTTTCCTACTTTCCTTCTCATTTATTCTCTCTTTTCCTTCCAGCGTGTAATCGCTTTCTCTCAAATCGAAGTCCTGTGTGCCAGACAAAGACGAACATGCTTTCGTCGAGAAAAAAAGGTAAGTCCCGTTCACCATTTCCACTATTCGTCCCCGCTATGTCTGACACAATGTCATAAAAAAACAAAATTTACTCTTTCTGAAAGCCTATATTAAATCAAGTCTAAGGGTGATCTGTTTTAAGTGGAAAATGGCCAAGACGTTTAAACCTTTCGATGTACCGAATATTTTTTTTAATTTGAGATATCGCGTATATTTTGAACTAGCTTAAAAGTCGCAACCCATGCGTACTTTTAAGCAAGTTTCTGCTTAACTTAAGGCTAATTGGGAGTTCAGTCTAAAAAGAAATGAACCTCTGACCCAGCAAGGATAATTTTGAAGAAATAACTTTGAATTCTTCAATTCACTCCATGGAACTTCAAAACCTCACTTTAACACTGATTCGGGCTATAAGACCAATTCTAGCCAATAGACTGATTTGGGCCGAAATTTCTTAATTCAGGCCGAAAATTGAGTTCTTCTAATCACAAACTCCATGGAACTTCAGTTGCATTTTCTTCAAATCACAAACGCTGCGGAATTTCAAAACCTCAAGTCAAGTATCGTCTCAATTTAACTCTGATTCCTTGGCAGCTTGAAGAAATAAAATTTATTTCCTCAATTTACAAAGTATTGGAGATATTTTCAACTAAATTTTAAACAAAGATTTTAAATTCACGAAAATTTTGTGTTACTTTACACTCAATATAAATTTAAAAAAGCTTTTAAAACCACATTTTTTTTCAGTTATTTTATAATTTAAATTTTTAACTGTTCCCTTCTCATCCGGTCATAAATCACAAAGATGGACTGTCAAACACCAGATGAAGGGCAGGTTTTCAATCCCGGGATTTCAAAATAATATAATATGTCTCTGTACAGTAAGTGTGGCTCGAGTTTGAGAGTGTTTGATCGCCTTTCCTTCCATTTTTTTCTTTCGTTTTAAACTTTTGTCTTTTTAGCGTTTACCGTATTTGAGGAGACCTAAACAATATTCTCCCCCAAATACAGCTAAAAAATATTTCCTTGCGTCATATGAAAGGAAGAGTTTGCCTATATTTAATTAAAACCATAGGAAAACTTGAATTATTTGGGAAAGATTATATCAAAACAGATCTTTTAGACTTACGGTCTTATCACGTCGAAACACCTATTTTCGTGCAACTATTTAAGTTCTGCCTGGTCTAAGAGAGGGTGACCGCATTGGAATCCCAGGTGCTGTTAGCTTGGATCTGCGGGTCGTATGTTCGTCAAATACACTTACTCTTAAATGCACCTGGGAAAAGTATGAATCTATATCTTAATTAGTAAGAATTGCATACGTAAAATACCGTATTTTTCGACTTACAAGACACATTTTTTACTAAAAAATACCCTGAAAAATACGTGTGCGTCTTCTAGGCTCAAGTAAATTTAGACCATCACCTAATTGGCTTGACTAATAGGGATGTGGATTTGTATATTCGGTCTATCTAGTTCAATCTTTTATATGATGTAACTTTAGTACTTAACTGTTAGAAGTATTTCCAAGACTATAAACCTTCCTGGAGCCGAGCCACAAGCTTAAACATGCTCTGTTTACTAGCAGCGGTGGAGGATCTTCTGATCTTGACAAGTAATTGCCATACAAACAACATCGCATGAGTGATTAATGTAAACAGAACGTGGCGCCAGTAAGTGAGGGAAGCATGGTGAATGTTTTGTTGTATGAGAATTTTTTTTTTTTTTTAGAAATTTCTTATCAATATTAGGGCGCGTCTTCGAAGGTGCAGCGTCTTGTTAAGCCGGAACATACGGTAATTATTATATCCAAAATATTTTACTATCTAAACTTATTTTCTGGCTTTTTACTGTATCCTATCTGAATCTAGCGAAAAACTTGATTTATTTAGGAAAGACGTTAACAGAACACAGATGTTTTAAACTTACGGCCAGATCACGATGAAACAGCGATTCTCGTACAGTCACTTAAGTTGCGCCTGTTCAATACTCAGAGGGGTGACCGCTTTGAAATTCCAGGTGCTGTAAGCTTAGATGTCCGTGTCCTATGTTCCTTATATTCACTTACTCTCAACTGCGTCTGGGCAAAATATGAATCGATATCTTCAACAACAGCTATGAATTAATTAGTAAAACTTTGTACTCGTAAAATAATTATCTCCAAAATATTCATACAATCTAAAAATATTTTTCTGGCTTTTTACCGTAGCCCATCTGAAATCACCTAAGCAAAACAGGTACATATTAACATCCCCATTCAATTAAGATGAAAAGTCATAACAGATGACATAACATCTAGGAAATTTCCTTACTGTTGTATCGCAAAAACGTATCAGTAACATTCATCGGTGCCAGCAGATACATCATACCTAATGATTCCTTGGCAACCTTCTATATTAAAACAGGTGTATATCTATTTTATTATATTTAGAGTATGCCGTTGCAATTACCTTGTACATGATAAATTACCGTCAAAGTGTAAATGTTCAGTAAATAAATGATTTTTTTCGAAAACCAGCACAGACAGGCAACAGTGTTATCCTAAACCGGTAATAATGATGGTTTTTGACCATGAATCTTGTATTTAAAATCTTTTAACGGTTTTATGGTGATCATCACCAAACACAGGTACACCCTTACACATTCAAATTTCCAGCAACATTCATTCATTGGGCAGGAAACAACGCTGCTATCTGAAGAGAGAATTTGAAAATCGCTATATTTTCATATAGTAAATTTGGTGCACTTTTGGGAGAATCGGCTCCCCAAAACTCATGCATTGATTGGTCAGTATCGACCAATCAGATTCTCTGCGTGTGGAGAATGTTTTTCCTGCGCATAACCTCTGATTCAATACCACTATGTAACGCATGAAAAAGGATCCGCATCAGTGAGATTCAGCTGTCATAGAAATCCACGACGGTTGAAGCTATGCGCCCAACTTCTCACTCAACTCACAAACTGCATATTATATCACACTTGCATAATTTTCCTCTTGCACGATAGAACTGTTTAAAAACATTTATAACCGACTAATAACTCTTTCATTTTTTTTTCAGAGAACTTTGATAGTCAAAGAGAGACAACTCATTGCATGTTTTTTCGTACACATTTTTTATTGTATGCTTTGTTGAATAGAATTTTTATATATATTGAAATCTTTTCCTTGTCCATTATTTTACATCAGTTTGGGTTCCTAAAGAAAAATTAACTAAATGTGGTAAAAAACCGCCATAGTTTTATCTTCATTTTCTTTTCTTTTTTTTGGGGGGGGGGTCCTTTTAATGGTTAAGATGGAGAAATTCATGGTCAAGCTCCTCTACAATACGAGAATCTATTTAAATTAACGGAACCCATCGTAAAAAAAAATATACAGGGGAGATTCTTGTGAACAATCTTTCTAGATTTTTATTCATTAGACCATCCTAAATCCACAGCATTTGTCAGAATCGAACAATATTTTTTATAAAATAATATCTATTTTATAACATTTTAGATGGGAAGTTTTGATCCTAATATTAATACAGTGACAAATCGTTACCTGAATTCTTAAAGAGTTATCTGCACTTGTTTTATTTACAACTGTCGTGTTCGAAACTGTGCTGAAATCATTGTTAACTGTGTACTACTAATGTTTCTCCTTTTCACCACGTTTCGTAATAGTACACAATTTAAACTTGGTATCGATCTATATAATATTAAACAGTTGTGTATTTGTGTGGCGTGTCTGCCCGGCGCATAATGATTTAAGTTAAGAAGATTTAAAATTACTAGTTATTTATACACTAAGTATTTTTAATTTAACTTTCTTCAAACAGGCAATTTTTTTAACTAAAATATTTTTAAGTGAAAGACAGACATATTTGTTTGTTGAGTAATTACTTATATTTCAGCTTCGTTTAAACAAACAGTATTTTAAATAATTAAAAAATAGTTTTTGGCATATTTAAAAAATATTTTCAAGTGAATATGATTTAAAAATATTTTTGGCATATTAAAAAAATAATTCTAAGTTAATCTGATTTAAAGTTCGAGTTTATCCCGGAAATTCTATTCCTATTAAATGCTTAAAAATAATCAGTAAAACGTTAAACAGGAACTTGTAAACCAAACCAATGATGGCTTGAACGAAATGAAATATTTAACTAAATCATAATAAAATTAACTTTCATTTCAATGGAACGTTGAAATGAACTTCATTGCTTTATAACCTAAACCGCCAATGACCCAACGGGTCAAGGGTAGTTTTGTTTTAAAATAAAAACAAAGTTAAGATATTTTGTTTTGGTTTGATTTGTTTTATGGCATATCAACCTTAACGGGTTATTTAATGCCGACAAAATTTTTATTGCTGGTAATATTTTTATCTATCTATCTATCTATCTGGTTTGTTTTAGGTCATATCAACCTCAATCTGTTATTTAATGCCAACAAGATTTTTATGGCTGGTAATATTTTATCTATCTATCTATCTATCTATCTATCTATCTATCTATTTATCTATATATTGGTATATTTTGTTTTACGGCATATCAACCTCAATCGGTTATTTAATGTCAACATGATTTTTATTACTGGTAATATTTTTTCTTTCCAAAAATGTATTGATGATAATATTTTTCCTTTAAAAATGTATGTATCGCTGGTAATATGTTTTAATATATTGCTGGTATATATTTTCTTTCAAAAATTTATTGCTGGTAATATTTATTCCAAAAATGTATTGCAAGTAATAATGTATTGCTGGTAATAACTTTTACAAAAATGTATTGCTGGTATTAAAATCTATTTTTACACTTTCATAGTGTTTGACCCCAGTTTGGGGGTTAACTATTTACTCATAGCTGGGATTTTAACAGGTGCTACCATCCCGGATCAGGGTAGACCTGGGAACACCAGTAATTATAATGTGGTTCCACGCTCCTCAAAACTTCCTGATCAGAGGCCTTGCTGTTAGACGTAGTTTACCGTCATACCCAGGACGGAGATATTTTGCTTTTTCTTACGCTTATGCAAAATATACAGAGTAACCCCCTAAATTGAGTGGTCTTTGAGGTTTTATTGGTTGAACTTTAGTTTAAAAAGTCGGGGATCAGTGAAGTGTTATTTATCTTATGAGCAAAGAAACCATTCACATATATATATATATATATATATATATATATATATATATATATATATATATATATATATATATATATATATATATTCATTCATTCTATATTTAATGAATGGCAATTTCGAGCTGACAGAAAATCTGAGGAAGCATAATCTTCAAAAGATGTTCAAAAATATTGTTTTTAGTTTGTTTTTTGTTTTGTTTTTTTTATTTTTCGTTAGGTCTGGAGCAGTTAATTTTCTGCAGTTCGCAAATCATTCGCGCAACATCTGTCAGTTATGTGCCACGCGTGATACATACTTAAGCGATCATGTATCTTTCGATACATGACTGAGAGGCAGATTTTTTTTCCGCAGTAGGTTGCCATTTCTTTTTGCGTTAGACCAGTTACTATTCAAGGCTATAGAACCCGGTCTGCCCTGCTAGTTATCCATAGCTGGGAAGAGAAGAGTGAGGATTTATATTCCTAATTCTTTATCGCAAATTGGCTTACGGTCACAATATGTTGAAACATGGGTTCCCTTAAGATCACCGAAGTTAAGCAATCTCAAGCCTGGTCAGTAACTAAATGGTTCATCAATATGGAATAACAGATGCTGCAAACTTGGATGTGCAGGCTGTTCAATAGATAATGGCTCGTAATTGTTAATCGCAGAGCCGACTTCCAATTCCAGTTAGGCTGTTATATTCACTTACGCGCAACTATCTTTGGGAAAGGCATGGATCCCCCCCCAACAATGGGGTAATTAGTAAGACATATTTAGCTAAATCATTATCTAAGAAAAAAATAATTTTTGCAATCTATAAATAGTATCTGGCTTTAAATAACCAGCAGAGGGTGATAAACCGTAGAAAGTTAATCAAGTAATTATCGCTAATTATTCTTATATTTTACCTCCAAAAGATTTTACGAAAGTATCCATCCATTCTGAATATCTATAGAGCTGTCTTTTTGCAATTCGGCAATCCCACAGAGGGGACCTTAAAGCGTAAACGTAAGCACATCCATGAGGTCATCATTCAAACGTCAATTAATCGGCATTGTGCGTGCATGGGTAGTTTGAGACCGTGAAATTCTTGAGCAGTATTATTTATGTATTTATTTGTTTCTTGGCATAATGCGGCCTGAGCCATACGTCAGCAGTCTCTGATGACCAGATTTGCCCTACCCGCGTCTTCAGGCTTTTCTCAAATCTAAAATTGCATTTAAAATCGAGGAGATTTCAGATCGGGGACACTCACTCAGAGACATTTCTCTGTCAACTTATTTACTACAATGCAATTCCATCTGTGTGTGCAAAGTCAAGAAATAAATCAATGAGTATATATCAATACGATGTGAACGTAGCTACTGTACGTATATGTAGATAAATCTACATGTTTTAACTAAAACAGATACATTTTAAACGCATATAGCTATGAGTTACGTACATAATAATATACATATGTATTCATATCTATCTGCTTAACTCTCTCTCTCTCTCTATCTATCTATCTATCTATCTATCTATCTATCTATCTATCTATCTACCTCTATATATAAACATATATATTTATTGA